ATACTTTGCACAATCAATCGAGCACATGAGGATGACGGTTTCCTGACATTTGCTTCAACAGTACGATCGCTCAGACATGCATAGACTACGTGTCTGGTGATTTAACCGTTATGCCTTTGTAGAGAATAGCATGAGTACCAGTACGTAAAAGGAAAATTCTAAACCCCTCCGATTTTAACACATCTTTTTATTATCTTAGTATATGAAAAATTTGCGTCGGAAAGTTCTGTAACAGACCGTACAAAAAAGCAATCAGTTTTCTGTGACATCACACTACCTACAGAAACGCCAAACAATGTCAAAAAGTAGTTATGTTACATGCCGTTCCACCACAACCTTACATCGACTGTGGTTTTCATTTGATTACATATTCAAAACTGTTTTAATATAACCTACTCAACAGGGGCACGTCTAGAAATAATCATATAGCATATGAAAAGCGGAGCCAAAGAGAAAGTGTTGGCTTTTAATATGCTTCGATAGCTCAGAACAACCACACTTAGTTTTGTAGCCGTAATCTCTGACGTCACTATTATGACTGAGTTATAATATAAATACATTGCTAATGTAACTGGTTCTCTACATTGTGCTTTATTCTTATGTTTTATGAGAAAGAAAAAAAAAAACTTTCATAGCTACCTACACAATCGGCGCGATGTATTAAGAAAAAAGTGGAAGGGCTTAGCTTATTTCCCCCAAGCATTATGGTAAAAATCATCCCTGGTACTCAACCCTCTGTATATTGCAATTATCACATTGAATATCTATTTCATATTTTTTATTTACGCTTATAAGTTTAGGCAAAGTTAAAGTTACGAAATACAAAACCTTTTATTTGAAGACTTTAAAATTTCTATTACATTTTCAGTGCATTACCAAATGAAGAAATTCTTTATGTTTAGAATCCCCTGTAATTTTCCCCCACATTTACAGATAAAAGCTTTAAAAACAAAGTCAGTAGCTCAATATACAGTTAGGTCGAGGAATAGTTGTGGATTACTGCCTGTAATTTTCCCCACATTTACAGATAAAAGCTTTAAAAACAACGTCAGTAGCTCGACATATAGTTAGGTCGAGGAATAGTTGTGGATTACTGCACTGTAATTTTCCCCCACATTCTAATTTCTCGTAGAGTTTTTTTTTGTTATTTACAATACCATGGACGTAGACAGCGGAAATCATTTTTTTTGTAGGTGTCACGTAGATACGCGGGTTGGGTCACCCGAACCCCCTTTTTTTTGTGACGTAAAAAAATATTGCCACTAACTTCACGATCATGTGACCATTCGGTATCTGCATGCATAACTAACTTTAACACTCGCATAAAACTTAAACGGTCGTGTGTATCTAACAAAAACGTACATATTTCTGCTAATTTAAGTCTGGCTCCCCATGTAGTGTTACAACAGAATGATGATTTGTTGACTTTTCATTGGATATTTGTGGGTTTTATTGTGAACAATTGTTTAAGCTACATTTCATGTAAAATTGTTTCCAGATTTAGTCTCGCACCAAATCTTTCGGGGGAAGGAAGAATGCCCCAGATCCCCGTAGTATTGGCATGTTGAATGAGCTTCACACAATTAGTGTTGTCTTTTGATCTCGTAAATTATAACCCCCCTTTCAAGGCTCTGGTCCCGTATGAATAAATTGCAAGTCGAATTTGTTCCATCTTTAAGCACCGAATGTAAACAAATTTGTTTGTTGTAGATCTATGTATTTAGCAAATTTAACCATGCATTATGATCGTAAATCACAAAATATTTACTCGACTAATGATGATTAAAAGGGTCGCGAAACAACGGGTCAGTTTATTTTGTTAAGACGCTCAAGACACACTGATCCTCTCGTAGAGTTGCTATTTTAAAAATGCTGTATGACAAGTTGAAATTAAACTTTAAATGGTAGTCTGGTTGAGAGAGAGAGAGGTGTAACGGCAATAAACTAAATTTGTGTAGAAATTTATTCAGTTTAATTATTCGAAAATACTTAGATACAAATATTTTCTGTTTTCTCTTGTTTGAAATATTTTTTACCCTCAAGGCACAATAAACATTCTATGTTCTGTTTTGCTCATATAAACGTTTTGAGCGAGTAACAGCGCCATGTTGGTACAATCTTCGGAATCCAAAGTGGTCACCCGCAATTCAACTGACTTTTGAAATATTTCGTTTAAATTAAAAACTGTAAAAAATATTAAACTTAAGTGGTTTTGCGTTTGTCGTGCGATAAGTTCCCTCTCTCAAAAATAGTGAAAATGCATGTAATTTTCGGCCCCACCTGGGGAATACAGTACAAGATAAAATTTCATTTTTACGAAAAGAAACAATTCTTAAAAAATTCTCAGAGTAATGAATTGAATGCTTATTCTAAATAACGATAATGTTGTTTATCCGTTTGCTGTTTACGACTTACTTATTGTTGTTTATCTATTTATAAATGTTTCATGAAAAACACTAAGTGTAATCTCATTGTTTATTGGCACTACGTTGAAATGGGAAATTATTGGATTTAAACATGGATTTCTACATGATTTACTTTTTAGTAGAATCTTTAAATGAAAAAAGTATATACTTCTTCGAGGGTATGTTCGTAGTAGAGTCTTTGCAGGATAACATCTATATGTTATCATCTGCGAGAGTTGGGTAGGATCCCGTCGATACGTCTAGTGCTGGAGGAATAATATGCACACGTACACAACTTGTTTGTTTCTTTGAAGTTAAGCACAAAGCTACACAATGGGCTATCTGTGCTCTGTCCACCACGGGTATCGAAACCAGAAACTAGCGTTGTAACTCCGAAGACATACCACTGTGCCACTGGGGGGGCTCGTACACAACTTAACCTTAAAAACTCTTTTCAGTTTAGTTTTTTTATAATTTCTTTTCAGACACTTTGTGCTATTATATTAAAAGCACAAAATAAAAACGACTTTTCTGATACAATGAAATATAAAATCCTTATTAGAAGTTTCAGTAACAGTTATGATAAAGATTTTATATTTCCATGTTGTTGTTTTTTGGTTGCTTTTACTCTTGAAATGTATTTTCTGCTTTTTATTAATATTTTACTTTCCCACCTCTGAATACAAACTTAATGTTCTACAGCTCACAACAACTTTTTGAGGAAAACATAACACAACATTAAAGGACAACAGGTGACCTTTTGGTCCATCTGGGTTGTCCTACCCACTAAACTAAATACTACAAAAAACAAAATTCAAAGCCAGCCCTTATCATTCAAATATATACGAAGCTTTTCCTTAAACGTCCTTAAATCAACTGCATTTACCACATCTAAAGGCAACTCATTCCAAAGACCAACCACCCTGTTCGAAAAATAAAGCTGCTTTAGCTGAAGATGACCCCTACCCTTGACAAAATTTATATTTTTGTCCCCTAGTCTGACCAATCTCACCATTAAATACGAAAAAAAAATATATCAACACTATCCATTCCCTTAACAATGTTAAACACCTCAATTAGATCCCCTCTAACTCTTCTATTTTCAAGAGAAAACAAGTTTGGATATCTTAGCTTATACTCTTATGATAACCTTTCCATCTGAAGTATATCATTCTAGTAGCCCTCCTCTGAAATCTTTCCAATTATTCAACATCTTTTCTGAGGTAAGAAGCCCAAGACTGAAAACAATACTCCAAATGTGGTCTAACCAAAGACCTATACCATGATATTATTAACCTCTTTATATGTTCATGGAAACATTCATAAAATGATCTCTCTCTTTTATATTTGTGTACTGACTCCAAAACATTAATTTGGAAAAGGGGACTATTAATTTTTTTTGTGGTCCTAGTTGGTGGTTTGAGCATAAACTTTTACATAAACTTTACAGATTTCATTTCCAAATACCTCATTAGGTTTGTGTTTGTAGATTACAGCATCTTCCTACCAAAAGTAAATATAAGTTTATGTTATTCACAAGTACCTGTTACTTCGTTCTGTACAACAAAAAATTACACAAGTCTCATTGATGTCATTAATTAATGTTCTTTTTATGGTTCCTTCTGGTAGTGAAATCAAAAATGTTTCTGAGTGAAGAATTAAAAACTTACAATTTACCAAGATCAATTTCTGGGTTCTAAAATGTAAAATATTCAGTGATTTTTTTTATTTTACACTTTTTAGTTTTTTTTCTCCGTGTCATACTTCAATACCAGTTGACACATCTGTAGTGCTACTTTAGCTTATATAGAGTTGTATAAATTATATTCCATACATTTCCAAAACAACCACCCCCCTCTTTCTCACTAAATAGGAATGTTAGTGTTTTATATAAAATGATACCTGGGAGAACCTTAAACTTTAATATGACAAGTGTCAAAACCACTCATATTTTAAAACTATAAAACATGTTTTCCAGCTTTCTCACAGATATTTGATATGTTTTTCTTATTCTAAATCAGCCTAAAATCATCAATATTTTTCCTCTCCAAGTCGTGTCTGTCCCCATTAACAACATTCCTCTACAATTATTCCTGCCTTTCAATTATGGTCTAATTAATCAATCATTCACAATAATAATGTGTCACTATAAGCAAAACTTTGCTTCACAGTAACTCCATCAGGGCTGATAATGTACACTATTCTCATGATGGGAGGCTTACTTTTCATGGTGCTTGTTAGTTTATGGGTAAAATATTTTTTATTCTATTTTCTCCCATTAAGAAAAAATAATCCTCTACTGGTAACAAACGTGCACATCCTATTTTTAAACTGATTCTATCAGTACATTTGATTGAAAGATGTTTACTTTCAAACATTTTATTTCATAATATAAAGAAAATTGTTCTCTAAGTTAATTTTAAAAATGTTCCCACCAAGTTTTAAGACAGACGACTAATAAAAACAAAGGTTCCAAATTTTTACCTAATTGTTCCAAATAGTACACACAAGTGTTTATTCTAGATCTGCCTAGTAAGGAGTTAGGTCTTAAATTTTTCAGCTGCCTGGAAATGAACATTTTATATGCACACAATATCACATGTACATTACATTTTTATTTTTACAAATTTATTGGAAACAAATGAAAACATTGCAATAAAAAATCATAACATCTTCAGCTCCTACGTAACTCACTGATGTTAATAAGACACTGCATGTATATAATAAAACTACCTGTATACAGATTAAAGGACAAAGTTCCAGAGGGACAGATTATAAATTTGCAAGAGTTACTAACAGGAAATGTCTAGAAAAAAAAAAAGAGTACAAATTTAAAGATAAATCAAGGGTAATTTCTCAGTTGAAAGAAATAACTAAGAAGAAGAAGATATTTTGTATTATTTGTTAATACTCGGTACACGTAAAAATTGTTTTCCTGCATAAACTTAGTACCTATAAATGACACACTATACCTAAAAATTTTGAATTACATACAGAAGGTATATAAATATATCTATATATAGAGAGAGTTAGAAGCTCCTTAATTTCTACAGATGTGAACAATGTTACAGTAACTGTTAGTGTCTTTCTTTTTCATTGTTGGTTAAGTGATATACAATAATTTCTAAAGGTATATCTTGTGGCATTTGGGATAAGCTGAATAACAGGAAAATACCAAAGATAAGGCCATGACACTACAGCATAGAATATTTTGTGCAAGTGTCTATTAACATGAGTCTTCAAGAAGCTTCAATGTCTTCAGTCCCTTCTTCCTTTTCTACTTCAAGAATACGTGGACCATACAGTAGAACATATGCACAGTGCCAATCACCTGTAAAAGTATGTCACACTGCTTTGAAAGTTGCAAATCTGGGATGTTACAACGAGTTTAAGAATAATGCAATGCTGACAACTCATTTCATTAAAGCAACTGCTCACTAAATACACACAAACATATATTTCCTTCATCAATCATAAAAAAAAATAACCCTGTATACAGCTCGGTCACTTTGACCAACACTGCAACCACAATTTAACCCTGAAACTATGCAAAACTTTTAAAGTATTAAGTGAATCTTCATGAAATTTGGCAAGCTTTTAGTAAATGTTACATGTCTTTTATACACAAAAAATCATATTTTTGAATTAAGCATCTTTACTAAAGATATATCTGTGAATTTACTGCTAGTACTTTACTTAATTTTTATTTCATTTAAGTATTCAATTTAGAATACAAAATATTAACACAACAAAAAACAATGTCCTAAAACTATTATGATTTAACTCCTTAAACCCGAAAATCCTGATTTATTCATCGAACAGTGACAGTGTCTCATAACATTTATGTCTCTTTGGCTGAAAAATAATCTTAAACCATGTTATTATCAATCTTTTATAAATAGACTAGAAATTTTATGAGGTATAGTGATAATTATTAGGACATCATGAAAATAATTCTGACAGAACGTGCAAAAAAATACAGGTTTAAAATAGTTAACCGGCTTCCTAACTAAATTATACATGCATTAAAATAGTTTCCTTAATTGGTCAAGGAGATCTTGGTGATAGCAAAATATGAAACTGAGACAGAATAACTCCAAACTGATTGTAAGAATGAACTAGCCACATAAGGGAAGCAGTAAATTAAAATTTTCTCTTTCTGTTGGTTATATATATAAATAATTCAATAGCAAATGTAAGAGATCATTAATGACATCTTTTTATGGCATATAATTCATTAAGGAAGAAGAACAGATGTTATACAAGTGTACATCCTTGGAAGCTTAGGATAAAATACAGGGGTGAAATGAAATTATAAAATGAGCAATTTAGAGTAAATAAGGGTCAAGTTTACTGACATGCATTGATAATAAATTAGTTTAATTAAATTTTGAATGTAACTATGTAAAAAGGACATGACATGCATACACTGTCCCACCCACATAGATGGGGATAAAAAATGAAATTTTCAGAAAGTTCTGTAACAACGTTCGATTGCCAAGATTTAAATTTTCTCTCATTCTTTCCTGACATATATGGCTAGTTACAATGGAAAAAATATTTTAAACAATTTACTTACCTCCCCCAGACAACTTGAGGATTTCCTCTGAAGTAACTACTGACACTTTGTCATCATCACACTTGAACCACTCATCTAAGAAATAGAATGTTTACAAAGTTAACTTACTACTAACATCTTCTACAAAATAATGTACTAAAGGAAAACCTTAACACACAACTTCTGGGTAACAGGATAACCAATAAGCTGTGAATGTGTCAAAGTTCAAAAACATAAGGGCTATTTTAACTATTTTAATTCATTTGAAAGTTACAACTCTGGAGATGAGTCACTTTTGTTATTACAAATGTGTTGAGGATATTTTAGTTCTATGTTACATAAAAGACCCATTGTTGTCCAAAACATTATCAGTCAAAAAGTTTTTTTCAAAATTCAAATGTGTGGATACTGATAAAGAGCAGAAAAATAATCATTCTCATCGAATTACCATAAATAAATATGTAATGCATAAAAAAAACACAAGCGGTTTATATATTATTAGACAGTTAAGTGCATAAAATCAAAGTATAATACTATAACAACAGGACTAAAATACAAAGTTACTTGAATTAAATATATTCTAGCTTTCATTTTCATCAAAACAGTTTGGAAATCTATTGTATTTGAGATAATGCACAAGTTCTTTGATAAGTTATATATTAACCATTTCGAGACAGGTTATAGGTGAAAGGCCATGTCATCTTGTTTGTTGACTCGCATTCAAAATTTTATTGAACTATTATTTCATGAATTTATGTCAATAAGTTTGGTATCAAACTATAGATTATAATTCAAATCTTAGAACTATACATTACTCAATTTTTTCATTTAAAAGTAAATATTAAAAAACACAGTTAAACATCAATTTTTGTGTGTCATGTGTTATGTTGAATGCAGCACTGGTTAAAATCAGATGTTTGTGAAGTCAAAATACTAAGTATAGTTTCATACGAATTAGAAACTCAAATTACATATACTGACAAGCTAAAAAGGTCAGTTTTATGTTATTTGATACGGTAACATGAGTGCACGTGAACCGTGTAATTGTAACTTCTGTATTGTTAGCCAAGCACAGGTGAAAG